CTGCAGGAACAAAGCTGAAGTGCGTGCTTTAAATTGACTTTATTGATGTTTAAGAGACATCTGTCTTTAGCAAATTGATCTTAGGATTCTGGTTTGAAGCTAAATTTGCAAAAATCCTGTCACGTCATATTGAAGTCACTGACACTTTAAATTTATTAATCATTGGCACACCTTTTTAATTGTATCCATTAAAACTTCATACCAATACCTGAATACGTCTGCACTGTATAACTAATCACTGCCTAGCAAAGTGGTGCTTTCAGTTCACAAATTTAATTTTACAAAGGTTTTGGACAGTACTGGTTGATCTTTTACAGTGATAGCAATGGGACTCATTAAATTTTTTTATGACAAAACCAAAACCGGAAAAGTTAGGTGTAGAAAGTGATGTTAATTTGGTATTGAGGCTCCTTGCTGACTACTTAAATTATTGAACTCAAGATTGAACAGTAAACCGTAATTCCTCCCCTCTTATGTAGCCTGAAATTTCATTGATGTTATTGAATTGTTCCTCAACAACTCCCTCCTTTCCAGGAGAGTCGCAAGTAATGCATTATTGTGGTGCACACATATAAGAGTCAGAATACTGCTGAAGTTTACGTTGTCTGGTTTACGAGTGTTTATACAAACAACTTCTATCTTGAGTAGTTTGTTTAGTCTCGTGCACAATTCAGTGTTAATTTAAAAAGAATGTGGTACTTTGCTGGTCACAAATTCATTATAACAGATTGATACAATTCTGGCTATCTTAGGCTGTAAAATGAGACAGGATTTGGAGCAACAAGTCTTTACACAACAGGAATAGGAAAAGCAAAGCATAGTGATGCTTTCTTTCTAATGATCTTAAAAGCCGAGTAGAGAAATGCTGTAATTTGTCACTTACAAGATCTTATTAAGCCTTTGTTTAAATTGGTAATTGAAAACAATTCTTTCTGTTCTCATCCCACAGTAACAGTGGCTGCAGCCAAATAGATCAGTGTTTTTTCTCTTAACATAGAAAATATTATGTAATTTGCCATGAGTTAGTGTTTTATTATTTCCCTTTCCTGTCTAAAAATAAGATACCACTCTTTGCCTTGACAATATTATGAGTTTAGCATAGTTTCTTACATGGGTGTACAGGTGGATTAAATTGCTGGATTCTTGTGTTTCTCTACAATCAGATGCATCTTTTGTCAAGTCCTGCTAAAATACCTGTGCTACTTCATTAATGCTCCATCTGATATTTGGGTCCTGTATGCTGCTGTTTATTTACAGTAGTAAACAGGTATGTGTGGGTGCATCTGTACCCATAAATATACGGTTATCTACATCTGTTAAAGCTACTTTAGCTTTACTATGTCATCTTTCAGCAGACTGCTGTGCTCTTTAAAATCCCTCCTTTGTTTTATAAAGAGCGCTACACCATTGTTTTGCTATCTTTACCAGAAAAGGACCAAGTGTCCTCCAAAATAGGCATTATGTTATGACCTAGCATCACCAAAATTCACTTTGAAGTAGTCTTTTGGCATGGGCTCTGCGTTAACATTTTTGATGGTATGTCCTGTGGTCAGGAGCTGATAGTGCTGGTTTTGGTGTTCCCTGTACAATGCAACAGGGGTAGTGTCTCGGTCAGCCAAAGATGGAAAAAGGCACATGTTGATGCTTGCATGGTCCGTAGGCTTAAGGATTGTAACTGAACTTGAAGAATGACAGTCATTGTGAGGAGATAAGCATTCAAATAACAGAACTTTTTGCCATCAGGCATTTTCTACCCTAGCACTTCTGTTTTGCTCAGACTAAGCTGTAGAAGTCTACCTTTCCACTTTTCTTGCGCTGTTCACATAGAACCTGCAATGCATGTGTCGTTGACTTCATCTGCTGCAAAAAATAGGTGACAGGATATTATTGTAGCTCTTCTTGTGAACCTCTGGTCATATTATGAGGTTTAGCCCTTCATCCAATTGGTAGAATGAGAAGGAAACAAAATGGATCCATGGAGACAACAATTTTGTGGCAGGAGAAGAGGTGCTCACCAAGCATAGCAATCCAGCACCACCATCATGGTGAATCACCTTATAACGCCTTTTGAGAGGGATAATTGAATCAGTTTTTCTGTAGCCGAGGATATAGGCTTCTCCCTGGTGTTGAAATTTGCACGTATTACGTTGTGGTGTTGAATGTCTTTGAGAGAGTCTATGCTGGAGCATGAATGCACATCTTCCACCCATAGCCATGACAGTTCTTGAGTCATGTTCTTGTTAAAAAGATTCTTGGCAGGAGTTGTTGCAGGATCAACATAAAGTCCAAGAAGCACAGCCTCTCCTTTCATTGACCTCATCTCCAAGTTACAGTTGTACAGAAGCATTTTTTTAAAAATAAAGCTCCGTGTTCAATTGTGTCTCCTACATTGCTACCAATAAAAAAACCCCACCATCATTCCTGATTTGAGCATGAGATAGGCTTTTGGAGGAAGCTTGAACTTTTTACGCCTGTTCTAAGATAGGCAGAATGGTTCCGTTTTGAGACATCTCATCAGACAGCACCTACCGCTTTGTTGTTGTCACACGTATTTTAAAATACCTGCACCTTTTGGATTCATTTCTGGTTCTGAGCAGGCTTTACAGAGGTGTCTTTTCTTAACTGTGCATGCTTGGATGGAAGGGAAGAATAGAGGATATGAAAGGGGTAGAGCAGTCACAGATTCTCAGAGCTGGAGTTGACATGAGAGCGCAAGAATGGCTGCACTAGGTCAGACCAAAAGTACAGTATTTTATCATTCTGTCTTTGACAGTGACTAAAAGCAGATGCTAAGAGAATAACTTAAAAATCAAGTGTATAGCATTACTTCCCTAAAATATAGGAGCTGCCTTAGCTGAAATGGGTGTTTATTTTTAAAATCTCTAGCTTTTTCTTCTGTGAGCTTATGGAGCTGTGTCTTGAACCCACAAAATTTTAGCCCTCGCAGTGGTCTCTGGTAGGGACTTTGGTAGCGCAAGGCCATGTCAGGTGAAGAGCTGCCTCCCGCCTGTTTTAAATCTGTTTCCCGCTCGTCTGATTTGATGCCTGATATTTCTTGTAGCTGAAGAGATAGAGAACTGTCGGTTCCTATTCAGGTCTCTTTAAAATGCACCACTACTTAAGTGTTGAGATACTTATCTTTAGTCTTTTGTTCTCGATGTTGGTGGCAGCTTACAGTGCTTTCAAGCTACTGTCAGCAGAGTACTCTAATTCTAGCATGAAATATTTCAAACTGAAAGCTTGATCACTTCTTAAATGGGTAATTTTTGGAGTGCAACCATATCTATTTAGTTCTTCAGCTGTTGAATGAATCAGAATTAATGAGAATTCAGATGATAAGTAATCCTCGCTGTATGCTGGTTCTGATTGTTCTTTTTCCTTCCACAGCCTTTATTCAAATGTCTCCACCACAATTTCTCATCTGTCATTTTCACTCTACTTGATGTCTGTGTTCTGTTTATCCTCTTCAACTTCTTTGTACATTTCTTCCTTTTTCTCTTTGCTCCTTTAGTCATACTTGTCCTCCATTTTCCCTTCATTTTACTTGTTAGTCTCATAATAAGTACCTGTTAGGAATAAACCCCACAAAAATAGTAAGTATGGTACTTATCACATGTCTGTAGTAATTTGGCTTATTATTGGCTATCTTTCTGCTTTTTGTTATTGTTCTCTTTAGTTGTAAGCTCTCTGAGGTAGGGAATAAATTCTGCTGTGGGTGCTGTGCGCATAGTGGTTTCTGAATTTTGATTTGATCTTCTGACATCCATTGCAATACTGGTGATGAAGAGAGTTTTCCCTCAGAACAGAGTTAAAAACTTTTTCTAGAGTATGATTCTAGTAACTATCATTAATGATTCTAGTAACTATCATTAATTAATTTTCATTGGTTTTCCCATAAAAGCTGTCTTAGAGAATTTCTGTCTCTCGCAGGAACAGCAGCAATACTGGTACCAGCAACACCTGCTTAGCCTGCAGCAAAGGGCAAAAGCCCATGCTCAGGGACAGCAGCAAATAAAAGGTCCAGTAGCGAAGGATGCACCTGAGCAGAGAGGAAAGTCTGAAGAAGGGAAAATGAGTGCTTCAACTCAGCAGTCTGAACCTCCTCCACTTAATGAATCCCTGCCTCCAGCTTCCAAAGAAGATGAGTCTTCTCTTACATCCACTGAAACACAGGTAGGCTTCGTAAAGGGACCACTGTGTGAAGGGATGCCACTCCGCTTATTGTGCTAGATGGGACAAAGAAATAGGAAAATGTCATCAAATTCTCGTGTATGATCTGTAGCAACAACTCAATATGGCACAGCAATCTTAAAAGAACATTTGCTAAGGCTGTGCCAATTAAACAAATAAAAATACACTCCTTGTGTGGGTGACTGTGTAAGTCTATATACATGCATCAAGCAAGTCCAAGCTTAATTCACTCATACCTTCCACAACGTTGTCATCTTTGTCTATAAGAAACACTTTGTGATACCAAAGTGCAAAATCAAGTACACGGTTGTATTGGGTTTCTGTGGCAAGGTCTTGGTAGTGGGGGGGGCTACGGGGGTGGCTTCTGTGAGAAGCTGCTAGAAGTTTTCCCTGTGTCCGCTGCT